GGAAAAAAAATCCACTGATCACCACCTGAAAGAGATCCCAAGAGGAAAACTTACAGGAATATCAGAGTCGAGTTTCAAAGCTCCCAGATTAAGGAGGAAATATTGGAAGCAACAAGAAAAAAAATTAAATATCATAGAACTATAATAAGGATTACTTAAGACCTAGAAGCTACTATACTGAAGGATAGTGGGTCTTGGAATACTGTATTCTACAGAGCAAAAGAGCTGGGGTTACAACCAAGCAACTAACCCAGCAAAGTTAAGTATAACCCATAATGGAAAAAAAAAATGTATATTTAATGAACTGAAAGACTTTCAGGTTTTTGTGGCAAAAATATCAGAACTTAAGGGAAAATTCAACATATAACATCCAGGAGAAATATGATAAACATTAAAGATCAATTATAAGGAGCTTAATAAGGTCAAATTGTTAACTTCTTGTATGTGAAAATATTAGCAGTACTCTTATGATTGTCATCATTATTTGTGTATTTGAAAGAAAGTCTTGGGCTGAGCTATATATGATAGGGGTCATTCTAAAACAATAAAACTGTGCAGGGAGAAATAAAAAGAAGTAATTATAGTGATGAGGCATAAAAGAAAAAAAATTGATATAGAAGAAGCTAGTAGGGCGAAGGGTGAGTAGTACTGGAACTTTACTCTCATCAGGAACAACACATATATCTATATCTAGAAGGGTATAAAAGTCTTCTAAATTCAGAAAGAAATAAGAAGGCAAGGGGCAGCGAGGTGGCTGATAGAGCTCCGGCTTTGGAGTCAGGAGGACCTAAGTTCAAATCTGGCCTCAGATACATGACACTTACTAGCTGTGTGACCCTGGGCAAGTCACTTAACCCTGATTGTCTCACCAAAATCCCCCCCCCAAAAAAAGTATTAAAAAAAAATAAGAGGGCAAGGCAATAGGGTGAGCAGAGATGATATGGGAGGTACTCTTAGAGGGGTGGGTAGGTTAAGAAATAGGAGGGCAACATAGTAGGTAGAAATAAAACAGAGAAGTGAGAAGAGATAGGGTAAATAGGGTGAGAAGGATAGTGAGGAAAAATAGGAAGGAAGAAAACATACAACAAGTAGCTTAGAATGTGAATGGGATGAATTTGCCCATGAAGTGGAAATGGATAGAAGATTAATAACTTGAATTCAACAATATGTTGCTTTCAGGAAACACTATAGAAGTAAGAGATACACACAAAGATAAAATTAAGGGTAGGCGTATAATTTATTATGTAAAAAAGCAGGGATAGTAATCATGATATCAGACAAAGTTAAAGTTAAAATAGATTTAATCGAAAGAGAAAAAGAGAAACTACACTATGTGTCAGTAATATTATTCAACATTGTTTTAGATCATTTAAAATAACTCGACATATAAAATACCTGAGAGTACACCTGCCAAAACAGATACAGGAACTATATGAACATATGCATGAAACATTTTTTATATAAATAAAGTCAGATATAAATAACTGAAGTAATATTTATCATTCATGGGCAGGTAAAGACACTATAATTTTTAAAATGACAATTTTACCTAACTAATCTCTTTATTCAATGTCATCCCAATGACTAAAAATTATCTTACTGAGTTAGAAAAAATAATAACAAAATTCACTTGGAAGACAAAAAGTCAGGAACTTCAAAGAAACCAGGGAAAAAAGATGTAAAGGAAGTAGATTTAACAGTATCAGATTTTAAGCTGTACTGTAAGGTGAGATCATTGTTGAAATGTAAAATGGATAATTTCGATTATTTTAAATTAAAATTTTCTTGTATAAACAAAACCTATGTAGCCAAGAATAGGAAAGTGTGGAAAACTAGATAGGATGTGACTGGGTCAGAATATTGCTGTGGTGTGAGAAATGATGAGCTGGTTGATTTAGAAAGACACAGAAAGACTTGGACCTATGAAGGAAGATGCTATCCACCCTCAGAGAAACAGGTGTTAGGTGGAAATAAGTGTAGCAGAGATTTACATATATATGTATGAGTGTAGATGTGCATATATGTGTATGTTTATAGGTATCTATGTGTATAGATATATGTATATATCTACACTTATATATATGTATGTATATATCCACACTTAATTGTAGCCTTCTTTGGGAGGAGAGAGGGGAAAAAATAAAGTAAAAAATGCACAGTAGAGAATAAAAGAAAACCTACAAGGAACCAAAGAAAAGCTGGTCAGCTTTGAAAACAATGTGTAGTATTTATTACATAGGGTTTTTAAAATGGAAATTTATTGTATTATATTGAATCCTCCCTCGTGTTCTGCTGTATACATGGCAATGTTTTTTTTTCTTTTCTCATTTTGTATTTAAGTTTAAGATAAATTTTAAAAATTACAAAAAAAAAAAAAGAAAATAGTGGGACCCTCAACAGGACTTAGCACGGCACCTGGGTTGAAGTAAGTAGGTGCTTAATAAATGCTTGTCAACTTATGGATCATAGAATCATAGACTTTAGAGCTGAGGAGCTAACTTAACACAACAGAAATGAGAAATTAGGAAGAGGGAAGAGGAAATTAGGAAACTGAGGAAGGTGGTGATTTCTATGGGGAAATAGAAGATTTAAAAAACAAATGATGGAAAGGCACCATGAAGCAAGGGTCTATGCCTGGAAATCCCTATGCTAGCTTTAACATTCTTTTTAAACTTTTATTACAAAACTTGTCTCCCTTCCCTGCCTATCTCTGTCTCGTTTTGGAAAGAGCTTTTGACTTCAAAGTCCCCTTCATTTTTCCTTTTCAATGCTGTGAAAACCACCCTCTTATTAAGAGCAAAAGGGATTTTCAAAAAAATGAAATGATGAAAGTAGATGATGCATTTCATGTGGGAAACAGTCTATAAGCCCTCTTTCTGTGACTTGGCAGAGAATGGAAATATCTGGAGCTCAGGAAGGGAAATCTCAAACTGATTGTAAACCTTGAAAATAGCTAAGCCAGATCATTCCATTTTCTCATCTCCAGAGGGAGGGGATTTCTTTTCTTTCCTCCTTCCTTCCTTCCTTCCTTCCTTCCTTCCTTCCTTCCTTCCTTCCTTCC